CCGAAAAATGTGTAAATCTTTCTAGCTACCAAACTTAGGTATCTCTTTAAATATTTATTCTCTAGTTCCAGAAGTACTAATGTCTGTTAGGATGAATTAAAGTAGGCCTGTGGAAAGAGATTGTAGAACATTGGACCTTAAAAGCAATCTGAAGGGAAATCTTGCAACAACTTCTAGTAATTATGGGAAAAAAAAAAAAAAAAAAACCAAAACCCCCCCAACAGCCCAAATTTAAACACAAGCATAAAAATAAAGCCCTAAGTTTTCACTAACTCTGCTTGTCATGAGCTGTTCTTTCCTGCACTATCTTCTGCTTTATTCCAGCAGGTTATATCGGGGGGGCTACTCTGCTGGTGGCCCCCTTGAGACATCTTTAAATGAGTCACTGGCTGAAATATGCTGTCCAGCTATTTAAGTTTCACTTCATAGCAGCCATGTTGCATCAAAAAAGCATGTTGAAATAAAGAGTTTTCCCCTTGCAGTATCTTAACATCTTGTTACAGTATTACTGTACACTTGATAGTTGCATTTCATAGAGTTTTTACTACTTCACCTACTAATCACTTTTAGTTATGACAAGCTGCGAGTAACTTAAAACATTCATTGCATTTAGGAGAAAGCTGAAACCTTTGTGTTAGTAAATAGTTCTTTCTCTGGTCTACTTCAGTAGCTTCTACTTAAGTGAGATTATAAGAGGCATTAGTGTTACCTAATTTTAGACTGCTTGTGTAGCTGATACAATGAACTGAGCTCCTAAATGTGTGCCCTTGGTGGATGGGAGGATTAATAAAAGCACCTTCTTTCCTCCATTGAGTTTGTAGACCAGGGTACTCTGGAAGTATTAAGGAAGTTAGAAATTATTGATGATTTATGTAATGTGAAGAACCAAGAGGTCAGCATTCTTGTAAGGGTAAATTTCCATATTAGCTATTTTTATATGCAGTTTGCTTCATGGTAACCGTAGCTTTATATGCAGGTATGGAAATATGAAAGAAATTTCTAAAATGCATATTCTCGATATGTTTTATGACAAACATAAAGGCTTATTTGGCACTTGTGTGGAACTGGATAATTTGGTTATGAGTCTGTCACTTGAGATAACATGCTGCCAAAACAAATTTCTGCCAATAAAGCCTTAATTCCATTCCAGATTCTCATATATTCTTAGACTCTTTTTAGTCTCATGTATTCTTTCTTTTTTTTCTTTAAGTTTTACAGTTACTGTTATTGCTGCCTCAGATTTTCACTGGGAAAAGATGTAGATGTTAGTTTTAAAACGTAACTGTTGTTTTAAATTTAATTTCTGCAGCACTTCAAGGACTTAATACGCTTACGTCGGACTGCAGAATGGCCGCGTTCTACTTTAGATACAGAAGTATCAACAGCAAAGGAAACTCCAGAAATTGAACCACTTCCATTTACACTGGCACATGAACGTTGTATTTCTGTAGTGCAGAAGCTGGCACTCTTTCTCTTGTCCATGGACTTTACTTGTCATGCAGATTTACTTCTCTTTGTTTGTAAGGTAAACAGAATATGGAACATCACTCTGTAGTTGCAATGGAGACTGCATTAAATTAGCATTCTATTACTGCTTTTTTGCTGGCTTGATGGTAAAAATTAGCTGCAGCATTGAAATTTCTAGTAATTTCTAGTGAGGTAGTTTGATGGCTTCAAATTTGCGTAGAAAAAGTAACTTTAAAAAAATATTTTCATATAATTACACTTGTAAAATTCTAAAATTTAAGCTAGTAAAAATACCTGATTTACTTGTAAGCAAACTCTAATACTCATAGAAATTAAAGCTATTACATATTTTCATAGTGTTAAATATGAATAGGCATATATTTCTTTTTTTATAGGTTCTTGCTAGAATTGCAAATGCTACAAGACCAACAATTCATTTATGTGAGATTGTAAATGAGACTCAGTTGGAAAGATTATTGCTGCTTCTTGTTGGAACTGACTTTAATAGAGGAGACATCTCTTGGGGAGGAGCATGGGCTCAGTATTCTCTGACTTGTATGCTGCAGGATATTCTAGCAGGTTTGTTTTAATTTCATGTTTTTCAGAATGTATGTTACACTTGAAACTTTCCTTTAATGTTTTAGGGTTTGTTTATTATTATGTTAGAATCTGCTGACACTATTAAGATAGTAAAAAAAAAAAAAATCATAAAATTGAGATTAGTATGTAAAAAAAAAAAAGGCAATTTAAATTGCAGTTACAGTCAATCCTGAATTAGTGACTTGCACACTAAAAAGTTAATATTCATATGATCCTGATTATTTGAAAACTATTCAGAACTCCTCCCCTTGAAGAAGTAGCCCTTGGAGAATTTAGAGTTAGGTGAAGAAAAACAGGCAGTTGACCTAGACACTGGGATGTTAATTTGTAGCTGGAATGAAGCTTGAAATAGAGCTGTCTGCTTAATCTAATACCTAGGAGAGTTGTTGGCACCTATAGCAGCTGAAGCTATGGAAGAAAGTGCTCTGGGAGAAGATGCTGGAGCTTCGGCTGGGGATTCTGATGACTCTCTCCAGCAGTCCACAGTTCAATTAGTGGAAACAATAGATGAACCTTTGACACATGACATCACAGGTAAATTACTTCATAATCTTGATGTATATATGTATACTGAAAAAAGTAAAAAACCCTTTGCTGTTACTCATCTGTCAAAATATCAGTAAAGGATTTTTGGTGATAGGGTAATTAGTTTCTGAAAATCCAGGCAGAATATGAGCAATTCTTCAACCTAGTTTTACATTTAATTAGTAAAAAATGGTTATTTTTCCAGTGGTTTTAAAAAAGGCAACTTGATTGCATTTATTAACATTTTCCACTAAGAGCTGTAATATTAAAAGCCTTAAAATTATCCATTAAGTGCATGATATATCCATGTTTTATAATTTGTACTTGTATAATAATAAAATGTATAATTAATACTCTCAATTATTCAAAGGTGCTCCACCTCTGTCATCTTTGGAAAAAGATAAGGACATTGACCTTGAATTACTGCAAGACCTGATGGAAGTTGATATTGATCCTTTGGATATTGATTTGGAAAAAGATCCCCTTGCAGCCAAAGTCTTCAAGGTATGACGCACCTGAGTTTTCAGGTTAACCTTTACATGTAAAATAGTAAAATCGTTTCTCTTGCACTTCATTAGTGGTATTTGATGTCTTACACCTTCTTTTAGCTTTTTGTAAAGGTTTAATGTAGAAAGACAGGAGGGAATGTAAAGATCGTGTTCACATCTCAGATGTGTTCATATCTCAGTTGACCACAAACTATTTTGCTTTTGCATGAAAATAACATGTGTTATAAACATCTTGTTTATACAGATAAAGTCAACAAAAGCATAATACAAAAGAAAAATAAAATCTAGTCTTGTAATTTTGTTTATTAAGAATAGAGTGCCGTTTGCTTCTGCAATTGATCTTAAGAGTAATACTGCTAGTATTGTGGTTTTTTTTTAAAAAAAAAAAAAGGTCAGCAGTAGCTAGTGCTCAGACCAGCTTCAGACTATGAAGAGAAGCAGCTAACTTCAGAACTTATTTCACTGTGGAACAAGAAAATTATTAAATGCTTTCATACTTAAAATGGAAGCTAAACATACCCGAGGTACTAAAATAACATTTAGATGTAATCGTATATTGTCAAGGTATATTAAAAACCAAAAATATTTTGGTTGTAAAGAAACACAACTGTTCATAATAAAATGTTGAGGCTCTTTTCTCTTCCTATAAGGATGACATTCTCATTTGGGGTTTTCCCACTCCTCTCGCTATTGACTTAAATCTTCAGCCTCATCTGAATTAACCTAAATTAGCTTTCTTGCCACTTGCTCAGACAACACTAAGTTTTCTTTTTTTCTCTGTGTTCCTTCGTATGTCCTTCCACTGATTACCTATCATGTAAAGATTTTTTTCTTTAAATCTCACCCTACCAAAATATTTTATTTACTGTATAATTTTTCCCTGCTTCTTTATTCTGCTATCATTTAATTTGGCGGTACTCCTTAGTCCACTTCATCCATAGGTATCTTCCTGATTTTATTGCCTAATGGGATGTCCTCTTAAAAACAGCCAGAAAAACACTCCTTCATTCTTAATCCTTCTTAAGATTTGCTTCTGTATCTCTAAAATGACAGTTGATATTGGATCTTGCCATTAAAAAATAGGCATACACAAATCACCTTCATACAGTCTTACATTACTGTTTTTTTTTTTTCTTGTGATCCATATGTTTTCTAAGTGTCTTAAATTATGACACTTGAGTAGAGATTATTCAACTCTTTCTTTTGCAGAGCCCAGTACAAATAATCCCTGAGCCTCACTGAGGCTTCAAGGTATTTTAATAGTACAGTTAATAATATAGTATTCTGTCTTGATAAATAATTTCTCAAAATATGTGTGATACTCCACTTCCAAATTTACAGTATGGTACAAATGTGTGAATAAAAGCTGATGATAACATTTTCAAATTGGCTTCTTGAATCTTTGAGACAGCTAACTGCATTGCTGGATTTTCACAATCACTAAGGATTTAGTAGCTTATACTGCAATAAAAATTGAAACAAAATTTTCTAAACCTATTGGATCCAATCTTCTGGTTTTAATTTTTTGTATTTCAGTGTTTATTGGAAGTCACTACAAAATTTATTTTTGTACTTGAGAAGTCTAAAGAGTTGCTGTTTATTTTCTTCTTGTTTTGTTTGTTTTTTAAGCCTATAAGCAGCACCTGGTATGATTACTGGGGTGCCGATTATGGCACCTACAATTACAATCCTTACATTGGAGGCGTTGGAATTCCAGTTGCAAAACCACCGGTAACTACAGAGAAAAATGGATCACAAACTGTGAGCGTATCAGTCTCTCAAGGTAAGCAATGAACTAAAGTTCTGTTCGGGCTCTCTTTCTTTGATACTCTATTTGATGCTTTTGCATATCAAATTATGTTAACAATTTCTACGTGCGTTAAGTGGAAAGAATTACATTTTCTGTATGCCGCAGTTTTTTTTCTGTGGTAACTGAGAGAATATTATGTGGCGTTTGCTTTGAAAACAGCCTAACACAGCAGAAAATCTTATTTTGTAATATTTTTGAACACATACTTACAAGCAGTTTTAAATCATTCCTGTTTTCTCAGGAAATTTTGGAAGCTTTCTTCTAGTTGGCTTATATTTGGGTAGTTGGCTCTACCCAAAGGAATGAGGTGGCACACTTGTTTAGTTTAGAGGAGTATTACTGAACTGGGGTGATAGATTGTTCCCCTGCCGCACTGGGGAAAAACAGCTTTTTTGTTCTTGTTTGAGAGCTATTACTGTAGGAAAACCAGGCTTAAATGTATGCAGATTTAGTCATGTGTGATATTAAAGTGACTTTGACAAGAAATACGTGTGTGTTCCACAGAAACTTAGTATCTTTTTAGTTATGTGTCTCATGTCTATAAGAATCTTAAGTTTGGTTCAGAGTATACGTTTCTACATTCTGCTTCCGTCATATATAAAAGTGAATCTTCCTGTTAGTGACACTGAGATTTTTTTCAGTTTAATGTGGACTGTATATCTATATTGCTTGCAGCAGGAGTTAGAGTAACTAATTACATATGTCTTTGATATAATTCAGTTTTACCCTGTTTGTTGCCTTGCGCAGCTTTAGATGCACGCCTAGAAGTTGGACTTGAACAGCAGGCTGAGCTGATGCTGAAAATGATGTCCACCCTGGAGGCTGATTCCATTCTACAAGCATTAACAAACACATCTCCTACATGTAACTACATGTTGTCAAATCATTCTCTTCACATAATGACCATGATGCTTTGAAATTTGTACTAATTTTTTCTGGAGTCACTTAGCAGCTTAGAAAAAGTTATATTTCGCTTGAATTTTCTTGTTAGGCTGAGCCTTAGAGATACTTCTTTGTTCAGATTTTTGAATTACGTGTCCACATATATTTAAGACATTTTGTGAAACTGGTCAAATGTGCAGGATTCCTTTTACAGTGCATAATAGTACAATGGAGGAATTGTTTTCATTTTCCGATCTAGGTGAAAGTGAACGTTAAGTTTCCTATTTTTGTGAAGCTTCGTGACAATTCAGCTGTTTGAAAGCTGCTTTGCACCTGACAGTTTCACGTATTCAGTGATGAAAGCGAAAATATTTGGATACAATTTTGAGCTCGCCTGTTCAGAAAGCTTTATGATGTAAAAACACTCATGATACCGCTTTACTTTTGAACATATTTTCAGTGAGTTGCACTGCCCATCTTGTTAAGGTGTGCTTCTTTGTAGCTTTCTGGGTACCTTAATACACATGCAGTCATTAGTTGAATATCTGATGATGGAGTAGGTTTAGTGACATCCTCAGACTTTATTTTCTGGAAATTTATTATTGACTACAGTAGTTTTACCATAATGCATGAAAGAGACGCTCCAGTTGTTGTCTTACCAGGACACGCCTGTAATATGTGCTTGGCAAGAACTGTGAAAATGTATTTCTGTGAGCTCACTTTCCAAACAGTTTTTTGTGAAGATAGAGGTGTCCAACATTCAAGTATGCCTTTCACAGTATGGCAGTCAATAGTCCCACTCAGCTGAATGCTGTGTTGAAGATGTTCTTGTAAATTATGAAATGTTTCTTTCCCTTAAGTATAAAATGCAAGGAAGTAAATATGATACTACTTTTAGCAGCTTTTACAAAATAATTCAGGGGGGCTGGTACTTTTTGTTGTTGTTTTTTAGTAACCCAGTCTCCTAGTGGAACAGATGATTCATTGCTGAGAGGATTACATGCTGCTAACCAAAATGCCCAGTTGATTGTACAGTTGTCGTCTATACCTATGCTGAGCACATGCTTCAACAAACTCTTTTCCATGCTACAGGTCCACCATGTTCAGGTATAGAATTATGAATTTTGAAATGTTTTGATAGTATTTCTCTCTAAATTTGAAAGTTGTTTTCCTGTATTTCTTACTACTTAGGATGCAAGTAACCTGTTATGTGCTTTATTGATTATGAAGTTGTCATGGACAACAGTGCCAGTAACATCATAGACAAGCTACTGAAAGCTTTTATCAAATAGGACATTTCTTGTTACAGTAGTATAGTGGGTATACATTGTCATATTGAAAAACAGGTTATTAGGCTCACTGAAAGATATTTGTTAGCTTATTAGTGAGAAGTGTCACTAAGTGTGCAGTCTCCATCTGTGGATGTTTTCAAAACCCAGCTGGATAAAGCCCTGAGCAACCCAGTCTGAATGTCTTAGACCTTCTTTGAGCAGAAGATTGGACTGGATAACCTCCAGAGGTCCCTTCCAACCTGAATTAACCAGTGATCCTAAATGTTAAAATTAGAAATACGCTTTTTAAAAAGTCGTTGGTTTAGCAACGCTTTTCCTCATATGTCCAAAGGAATGCCATGTGTGCTATATATGTGTGGTTAGGTGCCTGCGTACCTGTTCATATTGTAATTGGGTGGCTGACTCCATCCCTCAATCATTCTTTAAATATCTCATCCAAAATGCAGTTTGTGGGGTAAAGGACCTTGACGCTTCCCCAAAATATCTAAATAGTTATTTTCCTCAAGGCAGTTATTCAGAGTGAGCATCAGTGTCTCTGGTAGTAAAGGAGGTTTCCCAGTAATTAAATTGGCCTTTTGAATAATTTTGGTTGTCTGGTTAACATCACTTGACTATATTGAGACATTCCTAAAGCTTACATGCAAACCAGCCTTACAGATGTAAGGTTGTGGTACAGGCATTTCTGAGCAGTGTGTAAAGCTGGTTTTTTTTAATCATAAATTTGAAGTAACTTCTTAAGAGAGACTTAACTGTATTTAGAAGAAATCAATTACAAAAACGTAGCAGAAGCATTTGCTAGTTATGCTGAATTTGCTTTGAATGTTATGTTTATCAGAATCTTCCAAGTGCGAGAGAGTGAGTGAGTGTGTGTGATCAGTGAAACAGAAGCACCTGAGAATGTAGATAAGGCTTTTAAAATCAAAACAGGTAACCTTTTATGCTCTGGAGTTCTGGAAGAACACTTGAATTTGGTCTGATAGTGGGGTTTTTTTTTTTCCCCTTTTTTCAGCTTGAATCCCTTTTGCAGTTGTGGCTCACATTAAGCCTAAATTCCAGCTCTTCCGGAAGTAAGGATAGTGGCGCTGATATTTTCCTTTATAACGCTAACCGAATACCTGTCATTTCCTTGAACCAAGGTAAAATACATTAGATATGGGAAATTAATTTTCAGGAAGTGTAAGATAAGATTATTTTTTTAAGTACTTGATTTTTTTCTAATAAGCAAAAAGTATTAAAATAAGTATTCTTGATAAGATCAATGCTGGGATAATTTCAGCGTTCTTATTAAAGAGCTCATGGGCTCATTATCTTCTTAACATGAAAAATGTGTAGTTGGTATGTAATTGAGAGATGATTCCCTGAATTTGCGTAATCTCCTCAGAAATTAAATTGTAAAATTTGTGATTCTTAATTCTTCAGTAATCGCAAGAGGACTTTTTAAAAGACAATTCTTAGTCTAACGTGGACTATGCACCTGTATGTACTTCTCTGACAAATTTCTTCTCCTTGTATACCATCCTCTGATATCTTTATTATCAAAGGATTTGGTGTGGGGGAAAGCCCTATTGCTTTTTGGCATCAGTCTGCTAATCTAGTACAAAGGCATGTCGTATTTTTTTTTTCTATAAAGTAATTTATATAGTTTAAAAAAATCTGTGATGTCTTGTGGTGATAGTCCAGAACATTAATGCCTGCTATAATGAACATGTTATGCTGACTTCCATGAGAGCATTGTGAAAACAGAAGTTTCTTTGCATTGTTTTCTCTGAGATATCAGAGTGGGCATTGTGGAAAGTTCTGTGGGCAAATTGCCGTGAAGCGTTGGTGAGGCTTCTTTTCCTAACTTCCTGGAACAATAGTTGTCAAAACAAAATAAATACAACAAACAATAATATTAACAATAATATTAATAACAATAATAAATATAACACCTTACAGTAAAAATAAGACATTTATAGTAATACCCTGAAGATTAAAGCTTGGGAAAACATGTTTTTCTTGACAGCTTCAGTAACCAGCTTCCTGTCAGTTCTGGCATGGTATCCTAATACCTTACTCCGGACATGGTGCCTTGTGCTTCATAGCCTAACTCTCATGACAAATATGCAGCTTAATGGTAAGTTGTGGGTGGGTTTGGGTTTTTTATTTTTTAATGTTGACTGTTTTAGTGACATACAGATAAGCGTTGATTCCCATCTGAAAGATTACCAGAACTTTCCCTGTGTCATATAAGCACTTTTTTTGGTTCTCCGTAACTTCAGGCTTTTCAAGAGTGGGCTCCTTGAATTGTATGTACCATGGAAACTGAAACCCTAGTGGTAAAAGAAAACGTCCTTATAAAGAGGTTGTCAATGTCTTCTGAAAATGAATCTTAGGACTAGCTAATGATCCTTGGGAATTAGCTTTGTACTATGGGAAGAGGTAGCAGAGAGGAAGGATTAAGGCGCTATGAGAGAGATTCATGTTTCTCTGATGCAGTAGGAATGTTTTTATAAGTATGCAGGCACTAGTCATTGCTTATGTTAAGCTATCTGAAAATAAGCCCCTAGAAGCTGAATCTGTTAAAAAAGAAATCCAGCCCTTTCATTTCATTTCCTTATGCACACCAGTTTATCTCACATTCTGTATATTGCTCCATAACACACTAGAAATAATCTCCCTTTGTGAATGAGATTTTGCCACAAGACTGGTAGAAATTAAAGAATGTAGTTTTTAAATGAAGAAATTAAGCTTCTAAATGGCTCACTATCATAGGGCAGCTGTTGTGAGGAATGCTTTTGTGGCCTTGTCCTCAAAGCTAAGAAGATATCAAATGGTAGAGAACTTGGAGACTGGAATGTTTTAAAACCTATAGGTTAGACCAAGTGAGAGCTCTTTTAAATTCTGTTTTCACTCCAAACATATGACTAAAGACAGTGTTTACAGAAGAAAGAAACCCAGAGCCACCTGAAGATCACACTTCTATGAGGCAATTTGCCATGCTGTGATGACGCAGCTATTCTTCCTCAGAGATGCTTATGAATCTTCTTTTCATGTGTGCCATTTCAAATCATTGTATTTGGGATGCACTTTTTCCTTCAGATTTTCACTTTCTGTCCCTTTTCTGTGATGTTATTTAGAGATCAGTCTCACAAAAATCTGCTGAAATTTTTGCTGTTAGGTGAAGCAATAAAGCTGTGAATAAATTGATGGAAGAGAATTGATATTCTCAAACTGAGACCTCCATCTTATTCTTGGTATTTGTGAATAGAACATGGCCTGATTTGTAGGATAACAGTGCCTGCAGTTAACACCCATGTGTATTTTCAGCACTCCAATTTGTAACTGTAGACCAGCAATTTCCAAAAATTACTGTGTGTGTACCACTGAGACCATATGTGAATCTCTTCCAAGTGGTATGAGGCCCAGTGTTTGTGCTCTGACACTGACAGACGGGCAGGTGTGTGTTTGCAGGAGTTTCTTAGGCAACTGCCTGAGATCGGTAAGTGAAGATGTGAATGAAAAGCTGCTCGGAAGCAACCAATATGAATCATCGCAGGCGCATTTCAGCATATGAATGTGGTTGTGGATTTTTGTGTATGTAGGATTGTGAGCCCAAGGTTGGGGTTGAGTTGGAAAGGGTTGGAGATGCAAGCTTGCTGGAAGGTAAAGAAAAGGGTTGAAGGTGTGTCTCCTTTTACACATGTGTGTGGATTAACACAGATACCTATTCCTTTTCCCATACTCACTGATAGAACCAGGAGCTAAATAAGTTTAAGTGCCCATCAGATAACTTCTGTGCTAGGATTCCTCAGCAACTAATAATTCAATATAAACATCTGTCTCAATGGCACCAAGTTGTCACATTTAAGAAGTGAAATAATCTCTGTTCAATTCTTGACAATTGAAGGTGGGATCATCAGACCACTTCTCCAATCAGTAATTCTGGTTTACATGTGTTTAGTTCAGAACTGGGACTAATAGTCCCTCAAGCCATTACAGACAGTGTCTCACAGGAGTTCTCATCAAGTTGTAATTTTTAAGATCATGCTTTCCAGAACAGATAGTATTTTGTGGGTGGTTTTTTTTTTTTTTTTTTTTTTTTAATATATACAGCCAGTAGAGAGTGAACAATGTGAAGGCAAGTTGTTCCTGAGACTGGTGAAATTTAAGTGACATGTCAGCTTTCTTTGGAGTCAAGTTTCTCTTGTATCCTCTTTAATTCTGTAACATTTTAAGCTATGAAGTACAAATTGTTGACCTATCTTCACTGTATTGACAGGTTATGGTTAGTTTGGGTTTTTGGTTTTTTGTTTGTTTGTTTTGTTTTTTGGGTTTTGTTGGGTTTTTTTAAAACCACTAAGATGTCAATTACAGTTCATTTGGAATAATTTAGGTTAGCCTTGCTAGATGTGAGTGGTTATACCATTAGGTTCTTTCCCCTTCTAATACCCAAAACATGACAAGCCCCCAGATGTGTTAATTTGCAGAATATCTTCACTGATGAAAAAACACCACCACCAAAAATACTTTATTCAGATGATTTCAGGTATAATAAACCTCTTCAGATGCAATAAGCCTTTTAAATAAGCAAGAAGGCACCTCTTGTTGACATAATCCTCATCAGATAATCATATTTGCTGTTTTGGAAACTGAAAAACAACTTAGAGGTGTAGCCGCCTGTAGGTGATTCACTGAACTCTTTTTGCAGGTGGGCATTTTAGCACTGAGAAAATCCCACTGTAGCTATTTTTCTAAACCATTGGATCTCAAAGCCTTCTCGGAGAACCTCCTTCTTAAGTTTGCTTTATTTAGTTGAAATTCATTATTGCCATTTGTTACATATGTTCACATTCAGGCATTCTGTTTTCCCCAGTCTTTCATTTAAAAAGAATAAAGGAGAAAAAAAAAAAAGAGGGGGAAGGGGGAAAAAAAAGGGCAGTGCTTTTTCATATTCTTCCATCCATTCTAGATAAGGGTCTTGCCTTATTTGCATTTTATGGGTAGCCTCTTTGAACCCGCTTCTGAACTATTGTACTCTGAAGATTACAGTTTTGGTCACCATTTCTTCAAGAGATCAGTGAATTGGAAGATCTTGTCATGACAAGTGAGGTGGTTCTAGAGATCTCATCCTGATGTTATTTTCAAAGCTGTTTCTTAGTTTTTTTTCTAAAACCCCAGATTTCTCCAGTAGTAATCAAGGCTTTTTAGTTGGTTTTTTTTTCCGCCACCTGAGTGTAGGGTAGATTCTTTCTGGGAACTGTCCTATGTTGGGATTTTATGAGCAACCACTGTCTAGGGCAAGTCAGTTCATGGTCAGAAAAATCTTATTTCATTATGCCATTATGTGCTGATAAATGTCTTCAGAATGAGAGCTCAAGCTGTGTAACTTCTGTGCTTCAGAAACTCTTATCTGAGGGGTCCGAGATACTTTTCAGGGATACACCCAATACCCCTGGCCATTTCAGAACAATGACCTGAATTGGTTACAAGATCTAGGGACAAATTTTGCAAGGATGGTGTTTAAAATCAGTATTTGATGGATGACATCTAGAACCATTTAATGCTATGTAAAGGAAGGTGGGTAGAAGGAAATCTACAGCGACACCTGGCTAAGAAAAATTTCTCAGAGCTACAGCTGTCATCTGTCAAATCATTCTCGTAATGCATTTACTCATCTGTTCCTTTAGCAAGAACTATTTGTGCTCTCCTCCCATGCCCTTTTGCTTATCTGTTATTGTTGTCACCGGAAATACTGAGAGCAGTGTTTTGAGCATGAACACCACCTGACAGAGCAGATAATGTAGATGCATCCTGAAATCTAAGTTAGAATGTCAAACAAAACATGTCAGACTACAAATATAATGTAGAAAAAAAGTGGGATTTTATATTGTAGTGATATTTTCAGCTGTTAAATATAAAATATAAAAATAAAATAACTTAGGAAGTAATGAAGATGGTTTTATTCAGTTATGGCATCAACCATATCATGAAACGGTAGAAAAACTATGGAGCCTTCTAATCCTAGAAGGAAAGGAGTTGAGGGTTAGCTTGTGGACTTGGCTTCTGCTTGTCAAGAGGAGATGGGCTGTGACTGTCAATTGTGGGGAAGTTCTAATGTAACATCTGCTTTTATTAAGATGTAAAGTTTTCAGGAATAGCCAGATTTAATAAAGTCGTTACAATACAGACCTAACAAGTGAAGGTGAACACAGCAGGAAAAAGCTGGAGTTTTTAAAATAATGTTACCTTGAGAGAAACACCAAGTGAACAAATTAAATGACTTGAAGCTACATCCCAGTTATGCCCTGTTCAGAAAAATGCAAGCATACATATTCTAGAAGCTGTAGTTTCAATGGAGAGTTTGTTTTGTTTTGTTTTTTAAAAAAGAACAACATTGAATAACAGTGTTGCTTGTCACACCGATCATTATAGACTTCATAGGTGATTCAGGGTCTCTGAAGAAAATGAAATACCTTCTGTCTATGAAGGTACCATTCAGGAATGCAGGAAAGCACAAGGGTATGTCCCTTTTTCAAATAAAAATATATACATTTTGGGTGCTTTGTACACTTATTTTAATTTGGATACTCGCTACTTTTGGACAAACTCAAGTGACATCTAGCTCAAAACTTAAGTTACACACAAAGTTTGAAAAATGCAGTTACATTGAAACAATGAAAAGTTACAGAAAACTATGAAAAACAATAACCAAATTCAGATTAACTTCTCATTTTGATTAGTTATGTCAGATGCAGTTGAATGTAAATATATTTAAAAAAAAAAAACCCCAAAGACAGTAATACAACAGGTCTAAGTGTACATGCAAGAGCTAAGAGCTTAGGAAGTTAGTGTTCTTAGTAACCTGAGTGTCATTTCCATTTTTAACTGGTATCATGATATACTCAGAAACACCCCCCAAAAACAACCAACCAAAAAAAAACCCCACCAACAACCTGCATACCTAGTTTTCTTAGAGGGAAAACCAGTGTATTGTATGTTTTACTGAAGTAAATGTTCAGGGGTGTAGATTCAACAGGGGAAAAGAAACTTGATCAGTTCACCCAGACTGCTGTTTCCAAGGCATATCCTGCAATGGAAGGCTTCTCTGTTGTTCTGAAATGTTCAGTTTTTCTTTCAGAGAACCTGTGAAATTGCGTGCTTTTTACAAACTTGTCCCCTACCCAGACAAGACCTAGCCTTTTCATCTTTTGCACTATCAAGTGTAGCTAGACCAGGCTTATTGTCTACAGTACAATGGAACTGTAATGCTGTGGGATGCTTTCTTGCTTTCATTCAACTCCAGCTATTGCCATTCCATCAGTTGTAGCCATACAGACTTGTTCCACTACTAATGTTGATAAATCAGTGCAAAATGGTTTGTATAGCTGTACAAGAAATACTTCCAGTGTTAGTTTTCTGCATTCATCTAAAGCAAGAAATATGTTTATAGTTTGAGAATAAAGTGGCACTTGATACAGGGAAAACTTACTGTGAATTATCTTCTCCTTCCTTCTTCCCGTAAGGATTTTTGTTTTTCTCACAGCAAGTGTCTTTCCAATGCTATTTTTATTTCATTGCTCTGAAGGCTTTTCAACTGAGATGGAAGCAGTCAGGGTTTAATTCTGGTTTTGACAGAGATACTTCCCTCCTGGTTGGGATCTCTAGTTTAACTTTTCTTAGTTTAAGGAAATTATTGTGAATGATGAAGACTCTGATAAACAGAATGACCAGTAAGTAGTTCAGGATTTGGCCTTTTAACAGCCTCCCTAATTAAGAATCTTATGTTGGGATGCAAAGGGATGCTAGCCAAACTCTTGTACCAGAGCATCATTTCCTCTTGATTTAATCTTTTATATGTGATGAGGTAGTCTGAAAGAGATCACATCTTCAGCATGTAATAACCTGTAACTTCATTTAGATAGGTATAATATTATAAGAATACATATTTTTATTCAGTAGGTAGCTATGCTTTTTTGAAGTTGTGTTTTGAATTGATTTCGGTATACCACTACTGAATGAGTAAGACTTCAGGTTTAATAAAGCTCATTCGTTTGATCATTGAAGGGTGTATTTTAATTCTACTTCTGGTCCTCAAAGTTCTTAACTGTTAAGCTCCCTACAGTTTTAGTCGATGATGGTAAGTCTCTGAGTGTGCCAGGGACAAAAATATCTTGATTGTTTACAGGATAATAGAACATGTGGTCTCTGTCTGACAAACTAACAAATGCACTTAAGCCTTATTAAAGTGTTGGACTAGCAGAGAGAAACAAATAAAACTGTCTGTATATATTGGTTCCATAAAATGAAGCTCTACTTTTATTTCAGGAATATTGCCTTAGTAAGCTTGGAACACTGATGGAACAGTTTTGAGGGTTTATATCTGTACTTAATGGAAAACTCTACACTCAAAAATTGTAGTCCTGAGTAAGCAGCTTTTGGTAGCTGATTTTGCTGAGAATATTTACACATCTTAAAATAAGGGATATGCGGTATAAATGTTTGATTTACACTTAATGCTTAAGATTACAGATTTAATTTTCATGCTTTTATTTTTAAGCTGGTCCAAGCAGTGCCATTGGAGCTCAGGAAAGTACTGCCCAATTGTTGGTGTCAGATCCAAACCTCATTCATGTGTTAGTGAAATTTCTTTCGGGCACTAATCCGCATGGAACAAATCAACACAGTCCACAGGTAACTAGCAATTAAGAGAAAAGGTCTTCGTAACAGGATTTCAATACGCTTGACGTGTATGTGTTAGGAATAATGTATTATATCCTTCACTTGTTTCTTATTTTGGTTATAGTCTTAGTTGGTTCTGATGAACAACCACAGGGAAGTTCATGTTGGTGATAACACTCTGAGTAGCGACTGTATATTTTTACAACTATGTGGAGACTTGCCACAGGGAGAGAATGCCATGTGATATGTCAGTGAATATGTTCCATGTTAGGATTTCTTAGTTGCATGCATGAAAAAAGTAACAGAGTTCAGTTAGTTTCCTGAAATCTTGTTGGGTTGGGATAAAAATGCCAATGAAGATTAAGTTTAAATATCTAATAATTCCAGAATTTAAAATTATGCTTTTATGTTCTTCCTGTTTTCTGAATTTATGTGGTGTTTACTGTTTCTCCTAATTTCAAATAATGTTTTTTTTTGCTTTTTGCAGTCTTTGAAACATATGTAAATAATGACAAAAAAAGCCCATGTTAACTTAATTGTATGTAATATTTGACAGGAGTCTCAGAAACACTTAGTTCAGGAGACACAAAACACCTGGTATTTCCATTATTTTCCAGAAAATCTTCCAGAAAATACACGGTCTTTCCCAGAACTTAAACATTGTGCAGTGCCATTAATTTTAAAGCACTTGTAGGTAAATGTGTAGTTTGTGAAAAAGCATTCAGATTAGCGTAGAAATGTATTCTGTGTGAAACGTAGTTTGCATTGCTGAAAAGATAAAGGCTCAAGCTGCAAAATGAGTCTTAGGCAAAGAACTGAATTATTTGCTTTTTACTCATGGTTAGTAATATAAAAACACATAATATAAATTGATACGGAATAGTTCTCTTGTGAAAACCCTGTAAAATTTTTCAGAAAGCAAGTTAAGCTACATAATGCTTTTCTGTTCTTAGAAAATTTTTTTTTTATATCTAACCTAATGTTCTTGAAGACATTTCAGTTTTATATGATACTTATTAAAATGCCTTTCCCTCTAGGTTGGGCCAACAGCAACGCAAGCTATGCAAGAATTTCTTACTCGATTACAAGTGCACCTTTCTTCAACTTGTCCTCAGATGTTCAGTGAATTTTTATTGAAATTAATACATATACTTTCAACAGAAAGGTAAATCTTAACCAGTTATTTTTTTCCTTTCGTACCCTCTTTGTCTTTAAAATCTGTGTATGAATCACAACTGACGTGTATGTCCCGCCTTGTCATACTGTCAGGTTATAAATGGACAAGATCTTTGCTCTTGCTGCAGCACTACCAGCAGGATCTGGGCTGCTTCTGGCATGTGGAAAAGTGTGACTGGAATCCACACACAGGTGTCTGTGTGAGGGGCAGTGAATAGAAACACGAAACAGTTGTCTGGACTGCCCTGCACTCCTTCTGGGGCCCACTGATGTCTTGTCTCCCCACTAGCGTAGAGAAGAAGTGCCACTGGCCAGGGGGGAGATAAGAGCTCATGGCTTGTCTTTTACAGCTCTGCTTCTTCAAGGCTAGGTCAGTGGGCACAAGACTGTTGTATATACAGAAGTACACTGGAAATGTAGCAATTGCTTGGTCTGAACTGCATTAGGAATTATCATTTATTGCTGATATTGATGTTCTCATCCCCAGACAAACGTTTCATATAATTAGGGATGAGCTTCCTCAGTTTCTGGCTTCCCAGTAGGTGGCACTTTGGTGTTATCTATTCTTTAATCACACAGAAAACAGTTTTGGCCTTCTCTAAGAGATTTTACCTTAGTAACTTAAATTGGGTGGGTAGTGTTTACCAGGTTACACTGATGATCAATCAGTTATATAAGAAATGTCATAATACTATAAAATCATTAATTCACAGTGAATCTTGGAATGTGTGTCTGCATGCCACAATTTATTCAAAATAAGTTGATGACACTACTGAAAGGATAGATTTTTGAAATGTGTTAGGTATTTTTTTTGAGCAAATAGAAGGTGGGACTGAAATGCCACAAATTGGAAGCAAAGCACCAGAAAAGGGTTTAGAAGGTTATTTCTAAAACCTCAAGTAATTACTGAAGTATACCATGTCTGATCAAAGCATATGATTGACTGTGAAGAAAAGCAGTATTTTACTGTTAGAACTAATTAAAGGCCAAATATTTTCTTCAAGGCTATTTCTATAAACTGTTTTGTTCTATATTTAAAAGTTGTAGGAAGATCAATCAATGTCAGAAGATACAGAGAAATACATCAAAAATCAGTAACTAACTCACACTTCAAGACTTAGCACCAGTTTTATTTTAAATATATTCAAAAGGTTCATTTTGTAGTCTACCAGTATACGTGTAAAAGCAATTGGGAAAATAACCTTATACCTAAAAGAGAGCCTTCAAGCAATCAGCCTACAAGCACCAGCCGGCGATAGTTTGACTACCTTCTCATGGTCTTACGTATAGTTACTATTTAGATAGGTAAACCCTGACCATTCTTCTTTCTACCTCATGAGAAAAAAGGGAGGAGAAGAAAAACTGTCAGATGAAAAAACCCATCATAATTTCCTGTTGGAAAACAAATAATCCTAATGATATTAAAGTATTAGATTACTTCGTCCCATGAAGTTTCCCTGCAAACATACAAAACTTTACCCACAACTAAACAGGACTGTATTACAAGGCTATACCTACAAAATCAACTGAATGATTAAAAAAAAAAAAAAAGGATCCTAGACTTTTTCAAAGGAAAGGTTAATCCTTAGTGGTGTCAGGAAAATGATAGCATGAGCAGGTTCTACAGGCTGCATAATGACCAGTATATTAAAAAGTTACAAATGCTTGACCCATGTGAAAGATCAGATTGTGCTTCAACATGCATTTCTGAAATTTTATTTAGTGAAAGTCTAGTGTGCTTTTTGATTCTTTAAAATCAAGCAAAAAAACCCCAAACAACCAAACCTGTTTAAGTTGTTAATGTTGAACAATGAAATAGCTTTTTTTTTTTTTTTTTTTTTTTTTCTCCTTTTCTTTTCTTCTTTCAGGGGTGCTTTCCAGACAGGCCAGGGACCATTGGACGCACAAGTGAAACTCTTGGAATTTACCCTGGAACAGAATTTTGAAGTTGTATCAGTTAGCACTATTTCTGCAGTAATTGAGTCTATAACCTTCCTTGTGCATCATTACATTACATGTTCGGACAAAGTGATGTCTCGCAGCGGCTCAGACAGCTCTGTGGGTGCTCGAGCGTGTTTTGGAGGGCTTTTTGCCAATATTATCCGTCCAGGTGATGCCAAAGCAGTTTGTGGAGAAATGACAAGGGATCAACTTATGTTTGATTTGTTAAAGCTGGTCAACATTTTAGTTCAACTGCCGCTTTCCAGTAACCGAGAATATAGTGCCCGTGTTCCAGTAGCAAGCAGTACTACAGACAGTGTGTCTGATGAAGAAAAGGTTTCAGGAGGCAAAGATGGCAATGGAAGCAACCCTAATATTCCAGGATCAGCTGCATATGTGGCAGACTTGGTGTTAGCCAACCAACAAATTATGAGCCAGATTTTGTCTGCACTTGGCCAGTGTAACAGCAGCGCTATGGCAATGATTATTGGTAGGTATTTTGTAAGTAAAACGGAAGATCTTTTGGGGTGGCAAAACACTTAAAACTTCTACAGATTCCTAAATCAGGTGTATACATGAAAGAATGTGTCACAGAAATGACAGGAAAAAAGAGACTGATAAGAAGTGAAAGGGGGGACAGGTATGTGGGAAAAAACCTACCATGAGCTGGGAAACTAATTCAAACCAAACAGGAATGCATTTGGCATTTGAATTTGCTGAATCTTAAAATGGTCAGTGTTGAAAGGGGCCTCTGGAGATTGTCTAGTCCAACCTCCCTGCACAAAGCAGGGTGAACTCAGAGCCTGCCTCAGAGAGCAGGTTGCTCAGTACCTTGTCCAGTTGGGTTTTTAATTCCCCAAGGGTGGAAGCTCCACAGCTGCTCTGGGCAACCTGTTGCAAAGTTCAGTCATTCTAAAAGTCAAAAAGCCTCTTTCTTATGTTTAAATGGAATTTCCTGTATTTCAATCTGTGCCTGTCACATGCCTTTATGCATGGATTAGGATTAGTCTTCAGTTTGTACTATAGACATGTTACCTCAATTGTTCTCTATATATTGCATTATTTTCCTTTTTTTTTAAACATTTCTGAAAAAGACAAATTACAATTGTGGCCCTTGCACAGAATACATAAACTTTTCTATTCCTCTGTTTTACCAGAAATCTGGTGGGTGGGATCTTCCTGCTATGAACAAGTGAGGAAGCTGATGATACTTCGAACAGCAAAGCTGCTGTTTGTCAGACATGTACCTAAGATGCATTTTCTCAGAGAGATTATCTTTGTGACTTGCGAGTTGTGATGATAGCATGGAGTTTGCACAAATTAAACCACTGACTGAAATACCATGAATGTTACTGCATGCACAAAACTGGAAAAACTTTTTGCAGGATAGGCAAAGAGCTTCAACTCCATTTCAGGCGTAATAGTTGTAAAATTTTGTTCTCTTTATAGTGATTCTCTTGTTTTGAAGAAAGTACCTCTGGCCTTTTCTGTGCTAGATGTGAAGCAGATGTGAAACTGTTAACCAGTGCTATTATCAGAAAACAGTATACTTTTTGGATGAGAGCATGTGAATGTTAGAGCAGTGGTTCATTTTGGCATAAAAGCAATCGAGGAAAAAGTAGTAACCTCCAGTAGTCGAATTAAACAGCAGGCGGGATTTGACAAGCCTGGATTGCGCTGTTGGAACCTTCCCGAAATTAATTCCAGAACATCTCCTCCTTTACTCTGGGTAGTTAGTGTCATATTGCAAATACACTATGAACGCTGAAAGTAGTTTGTTCTGGGAATGATGGTTAATGCTCAGTATGTGTTTCTTTGGGGCGGAATTCAAAAATTCTTCTCCTCAACTTTGATGTCTTTCTAAACCACAAATTTCTGTCCAGCAGTTGTTTTGCATTTTTAAAAAGGCAATTTGGAAAGACAGTGGCGTTTCAAAATGTTTTTCATTGAATTCAGGATACTGGGCCAGCTGATTCCTTCAGTGGATTGTTCCTCTCAAGGTCTTTTAATATAGGTTATTGAAACTAATTTGTATGTGTATTTTGGGAAGATATAACACAGCTATTTGTGGTTTTAGTCCCTTCATGAAGAACTGTATTAAGCTCTCTCCAGACAATTTCTATGAACAAAACATTTCTCCAAGACTGCAGCCAAGGTTATATATGATCCAAAAATCAGTTATTGGCATATAGTAGTAAACATGTAATAGCTAGTGCAGCATGCTAGCTACCCTGGAAGGATAAACAAGAAGATGTCTGCAGATGTGTACTGATAAGTAGTGGCTCTGGTGTCAAAATTTATGCTAATAATGTTAATTTACTGCACCTGGCAAGCCAGCTGGTCAGGAACGAGGATGGCCTTGAGTAATTCACTTGTCACACGAAGCTGAAACATCTGTTGGATTTTCTTTTATGACTGTTTCGTCTACTTATTTCATTAGGTTTTTGTGCTTTGTCATTGACAGACTATGAAAATCATACAAGTAACAGTATTCCCATCCTACCCTACCTTCTCCTTGCCTCAAAGTCTTCACAGCAAACTCACCTTAGCTGGCATCAGCTCCGTCATTCATTCCATTTAACTTTTGTAGACCATGCAGAGACTGAGTCTTAGACTTTTTTTTTTCTGTCTGTCTCCATGCATCCAGTGCTTATCAATATTTTCTTTCTTGATAGCTTGAAGGTGATTAAAGTACTACAGCTGTCAGTTCTCTTGCCGGAATGTTTCTCTAAGGCATGTTCCAAAGATCACTTGAATACGTTATTTTTTATTATTATTTGTTAGTATAACTCCAGTTTCTCTAAATGGAACAGGATTATTCCATCCATTCCCCCCACTCAAACCTAAACCCACTTCTAAAAGCTCTTCCAGATTGAAGTCGTATGCTTTGTAAGGCAGTTGTATTTACAGGGGCAGTCTCTTCCTGGGGAAGACTATTTTGCTTTCCATCTTCAAATTCAGCAATGTGTAATCAATATTGCTGAATATTGATATTCAGTAAATCCTCATTAATACATCCTGAGCTGTAACACTGAGAAGGAGAATTCCATGAGAGGTATTTCTGATAGAAATATATATATGTTAAATAGTTTGGGGTTTTTTTTGGTTGCACAAGCACGCTTCTATTATTATCTGAAAAAAATCTTAAATACTAGTTAGTTGCTTCTTGCTAGGAGTGATTCCAATCCTCGTAGTTCTTATTCTGTTTCCTTCACTAATTACAGTCACTTGTGTGGTCTTATCTAAAATTGGATTTAAATTCCCTGACTTACTGGGTCAGATCTTCTATTTATACTGTAAAAAAGGTACCATGTATGTAGGAACGCTAATAGTAATTTATATGATCCTGAAAACTGGCCCATTTGTAGTTTGTAAAATCCCTGTGAACATTTAACTGAAAAGAAATTTAAGTATCCTTGAGTAATCTTATGTGCTGTAATGGTTTGTTAGGTCTCAGCTTCTGACCTTTGAACTGTTTCTGTTTTCACTAAGGTGCAAGTGGCTTACATCTCACTAAACATGAAAACTTTCATGGTGGCTTAGATGCCATATCAGTTGGAGATGGGCTGTTCACTATCCTGACAACGCTTAGTAAAAAAGCAACAACAGTGCAAGTGATGCTTCAGCCAATTCTTACCTACATGGCCTGTGGGTACATGGGAAGACAGGTAAGTTCACTTAGGTCTGCTGTGCTTCAAGGGAATTATAGGTTAGTTGATGCTGTAACCTATAATAAGCTCAGAAAACTGAACTAGTGCTATGTAAAAGAAACGGTAACATGGTTCCAACCTCACTTCCCTTTGGTGCTGAAGCTAGGAAGCCTCCCTCCGTTACCCACAGTAGAGGGAGAGAGAGCGTTTCTGTAAGGACATTTTGACATTCCTGTAAGTGTTCCTGGCTAAAGGCTTGAAGATGGATTGAATGTTTATTGTGTTCAGGCGGGAAACACATTTGTTGTGTTCATCTTAGCGGATATTTTAAATGCTCAATATTCTTATTTCCCTTCAGCTGCTTACCCCTGGTAGTTTGATCTTCTCCTTAGCACAATGACTTCTCCTTACCACAATGGCTTCTGCTATGTAGGAGTGAACCATATGGAGCATGATATTGCTATTTTGTGGTATAGAGGTCAACTATGGTGGCATTTCCTCTCTGGGATTTTTGCCTACTAAAAGGGATACTAATGCATATTTCTGTCATACTAATTTTGCATGAAGCTGTATTTCTTAACTTTCTTCTAGGGTTCTCTCGCCACTTGTCAGTTATCTGAGCCACTGCTCTGGTTCATTTTACGAGTGTTGGATACAAGTGAGGCACTGAAGGCTTTCCATGATATGGGTAAGAATGTTTTTTCTTTAGCTGCATCAAGTAAAAGGTTTATTGTAGATTTTTTTGGCACTTAAAGAAGGAATACAGATATGTGTCTGGAGAAGCAAATTTACTAAATAGGCCTTGGCTTGCTTAGAATCTATTGCATACTTCTGAACAGTGTTGGGTTTTTTCCCCCCCTGCCTGCATTATACACAGGTGGTGTTCAGCTTATTTGTAACAACATGGTTACGAGCACAAGAGCTATTGTTAACACAGCAAGAAGTATGGTTTCGACTATTATGAAATTTCTTGATTCTGGTCCCACCAAAGCAACAGACAGCAGTTTGAAAGCTAGAGTACTAGCTTCTGAGCCTGATAATGCAGAAGGAATTCACAATTTTGCACCTTTGGGTAAGTAATAATTCTTTCTCTTAAGTTAATATCCACTGGTCCGCATTTGAATCTTTATGAAATTCTTAACAAAAAATATTGTGATAGTGTCATATGTTGCAATATTATTTTATCTTCTAAACAGAGGGGTTGCTGGTGTTTCAAGATGATGTTGGGGGAGGAGGTTAGCCCTCCTCCACAGGTAATAAGACCTTGCATGGATAGGGGAAAGAAGGAAAGGGAGTGATCTGTATCTGATGTAGTCATGCATCACCCATCCTTCTCCCCTAGGTCAGGGGATAGCCAGTTCCAACCCACCATCTGCCATGGATACACTAAGACTCACTGACTTCAGTTAAGGCACATCAGATTTGATGGAGCTGTTAGAGAAGCATAGCAAGGTTGGATGACACAGAATGAGCCTGAGCTAGGTCAAACAGAGCAGCAGAAGCTAGAGCATCAGGCTGATATTGCCAATACTGCTCTCACACCTGCACCTAATTGCTCCGATGTTACCTGCATGAACATTCGTTAGAATTGCAGTTTTGGTATCAATACAATGGCTGCCACTTAACTAAAATGCACGTGTTTTAAGATGTAGGTGTACTCTAATATCTTACAAAGGCTCCTTTTCACTAGTAGTATCTTAATGTTTTCTGTTGCTGCCCACTAGCCTAGCGTAGCCTATGAATGTGTTCATACAGTGTGTCTCACTGTCAACAGGGGAGAAAGAAAGGATTGTTTTTAAAATTTCTGGAAAAATTGTCAGATGAGAGAAATCCATTCAGTCCTGTCATTCAAATTTAAGAGCGTCAAAAATAATTAAATATTAAAAAAAAGGGGGGGGGTATATTTCGCAGAATAGAGGTCTGAGAAATCTACTGTGCTCTTCACATATATAAGAATCCTGCAAACATCGGTACTTGATTACTTTAAGTAGTAAAAATCCTAAGCATATCTAGTGGGTGGTTTCTTGCATGCCTTACCTCCCAACTCGCAAAGTGATGCAGTTCCTGATGTTCTGCTATGAGTGCATCTATCTTAATATTTTACTTTCAGTCAGGAGTGTGCTTTTGAAATTAACTGTCTGGTTGCCCTCACTTACTACATGCTGATTCTCATCATGTAGTGTCCTCTGAGAGATTAACTCAATTAATTTGGGATGAAAGTCTATCAAAATGTGTCCAGGAATTCACCTCCAGCTGCTACTAGACATTCAGTCATGGGGCCAGGCTAGACCTACTTTAAACTAAAAACACCCCAAGTACCTATAGTTTGAACAGCACAGATCTGGTGGTGTTGTGCCGTACTACTTGCTAAAGAAGACATAGCCTAGATCTTTGTACTTCATTCTTAACTCATGCTAACATTAGAAAAATAAGCAGCTGCTATGGTCAGGTTTTTTTTGCTTCTGGTGTCTTTTTTAGAAAAAGGTTTTCATGTGAAACAAACTGTTTTAAAGAAAAAGGTTTGCAGATTTTGGTTATAAAGTCATTTATCTTATCATTGTAATACTTAAACCTTTAAAGCCTTCATTATGTTAATTATGAATTAACCGAGTTCATGTTCTAAGCATATGGTTCAACCTGCACCTTTTTCGTTGGTTTGTTTTTGTAATGGGCTCTTGATAGAAAGTTTAGGATTTTGGTAGCAAGTGTTCCCTGGCAAATTTTCAAGCATATGCGTATGCATGTGGATATGTAAACAGCCTATTGTAAAACTGTCCAAGAGTAAAAGAAAAATGTCTCAGCAGTTGTCGTTATTACAGATGGAATGTTATCAATAAACTGAAACAGGTGAGATGGGAGGAAAACAAAAAAAGTGTTTTCCACAGTTCAGGTTGTAAATTAATCTGAGTTTTATTAATAAACATTAATAATCAGTGTTAACGGTGCTGGTTTTGAAGGTTCGATCACCTCCAGCAGTCCCACTGCCCAGCCTGCTGAAGTGCTGTTACAGGCTACTCCTCCCCACAGACGGGCTCGGTCTGCTGCGTGGTCGTACATATTTTTACCCGAGGAAGCTTGGTGCGACCTCACGATTCACCTTCCCGCGGCCGTGCTGCTCAAGGAGATTCACATCCAGCCTCACCTGGCCTCTCTGGCGAGTAAGTAGATTCACTGACATTGATGCTGGTTTGAAAATTTGAAGGGTAGGATTTAGAAATGGTACAAAGTATAATCAGAGGTACTAAAGCTGCAGGTTGTTTGAAGAACACCTGTGAAATAAGTTGAAAATCTTGCTAATTCTGCTTTCATTGAGAATGGAAGGCCCTGCCTCTGCTTGATTTCTTCTAGCTCAGTATGTTTTATAGCGTTAACTTTAAATATGCCAAAAAACTTGTCAAACTTATCAAAACTTTCCCTAGTGAGAATGCGATACTGGTCAAGGGTCTTCAGGCAAAATGGTTTTGCATGGTGGTTGGAATAAAGCATGAGATTTTCAGCACTTGTTGTCATAGCCCTGCTAGGGAAACGTGGCATTTATACTGACAGGACTTTTCTTCATCTTAAGTCTTTGAAATAAACTGTATATGCTATGTATCAAAAATGCTTATGCATTCTAACGTATGCCATCGCACAGGTCAAATACTCCAGCTGCAGTTCTGTAGTAGTATTTGCCTAAGATCATTTCAATGGTCTTGTTCTGTATCTTTAATGGGAATGCATATTTAACACTTAAAATTCAATCCAGTACAGATTTTTAAATAGTATTAAACCTTCTTATCTTACTCTGTAGCTTGCCCTTCATCAGTATCTGTTGAAATAAGCGCAGATGGTGTCAATATGTTACCTTTGTCAACTCCTGTTATCACAAGTGGTCTCACATATATAAAAATCCAGCTGGTAAAAGCTGAAGTTGCCTCAGCTGTCTGCCTCCGTCTCCATCGTCCTCGGGATGCCAGCACACTAGGCCTCTCTCAGGTCAAACTGTTAGGCCTCACGGCCTTCGGAAACACCTCGTCTGCAACCGTCAATAATCCATTCCTTCCCTCTGAGGATCAGGTCTCTAAAACAAGGTAAGCTTCTGGTGTCAATGGCCAGAGGCATGTTTGTGCCAGTTCATGCTTTTGTATTTTTTAATCATGTTTTCTGCTCTGTGTCAGATCTTTCAGTAGCCAACTGTATTCATGAGTACCTGGTTTTGTAGTTGAATTTTAACATTTGCAGAATCTGTTTCAAATATCTTAGATACACAAGTATTGGAGCAGGAATAGGAATAGGACAATGGGATGTTTTGTGGAAGTCGTATCTAATATTGCTGTTTGCAAACATTTGCGAAAAAGGAACTGAATGTTGTGATTCTGGCATACAAGCAAGATTTCTTTTCAAAAGCTTTTATTTGGTTAGGTGGCATCTTGAGTTTCATACTCATTTTTAAAATGAAAATAAAGAAACCCTTAAGGATTTAAAAAAAAAAAAAGTGTTAAAGCTTTCCAACTCTGAATTTAATTTAATGGGTGAATTTTTGAGATTTCCTAGTTCTGAAATTTAGCTTACTAAATTGTAAAAATTCTTGACTTTGAAATATTTCATCTTTGAAGCTTAATGTTTATAAATTTGAAAAAAGAGCATGGGAAAATTTTAAAAGCCTTTCTTCTTTTGCTGGGAAAAATTTTGAGAAAGTAAGTAAATTTAGAGAACATGAATACTGTCCAGTGTATACTTGATAAAAGCTGTATAACTAAAATTGGTCTTTGATTGTGAATAGCAGTGAAGCAAATTTTCATAGCCAAATTATACTATTGCTGTATTTGTACTTCAGAAACAGTTATCTTAAAGTAACACAAAAATAATCAGTATCTGAAGAAAGAAGGTGATTGTACATTCTTCATGTATTGAAATGTTTTATTGTGGCTTTCAGCTTCATTTTATAAGTATTTCAATAAAGTAATGGTAGTAATATGATAGATAATATTCAATAAATTTGGATATAATTTTGGTTGAGATGTAACAGAAAACTTGCACTTTGCTAAAATGATAAATATTTAGGAGTAAATTATTCCTAAAATAAAAGCACAAACTTCATTTAAGGTCTGTATGCAAGTTTGCCTTTTTTTTGTTTTTGTTTTTGAACTGTGGGAGATAGCTGTGAAAATAAGTTAACCTGTTAGTTTAGAAGTTGTCAGTGAAATGATGCCATTTATTTCACATGCAACTTAGATTGCCATCTTGTTCATAATGCTTGTTTAAACAGCATTGTAGGATATTTTTTATAAATAAAATCTAGCTAATATGTTTCCAAATTGATTCAATTACAATAGGTTTACTTTTCAAGGTTTATTATTAAAATGAATACTGAACGATATTGTTAAAGAATGAGAGACATGGGGGAAATGCAATGGCTAACATTTTTAATTTCTGCACTTTTTCTGCGTGCTTTTTAAATCAGGTTCACTAAGGTTCACTGTAATTTACTGTAGATGTCTATCATAGAATCATTTAGGTTGGAAAAGACCTTTAAGATCATCCAGTCCAACCACTAACCTAACACTACCAAGTCCACCACTAAACCAATTAAGGGTAGAATAGCAATTTCATGTTTCCTGGCTTGGCGGCTGGATTATTTTTTAATGAAAGTAAAAACTAGGAATCACTAAGGTTGGAAAGGATCTCTAAGATCATCAGTCCAACCATCAACCCAACACCACCATGCCCACTAAACCATGTCCCAAAGTGCCACATCTACCCATTTTTTGAACACTTGCAGGGATGGTGACTCCACCACCTCTCTGGGCAGCCTGTTCCAATGCTTGACTACCCTTTCCATGAAGAAGTTTTTCCTAATGTCCAATCCAAACCTTCCTGACGCAGCTTGAGCCCATATAGTTGATTTAGGCTACAGAAAAATAGCTGGAGAATACAAAGGAACTCTAGTACACCTGAACACTTTATAATCTCTGTAATGCTTCACCATAACTTACTGGATGCTAGCTGACTTTGGTAGGCTTTTGCTCTGCATCCTGTGGGAGATAACAACCCCAATTCCCTCAGCCGATCCTCATAAGACCTGTGCTCCAGACCCTTCACCAGCTTCGTATGACCCTAAAAGTTTGTAAAGTCAGGGAAGCTGTGCAGGTGCATAATTTTAATGCCAGTCACTATTGCAGAGTCTTCATCTTAAATATGAATAAGTCCAATGGTGTCTGAGTGAGGCAGTGTGCTGTTTCATGTTTCACATTTATGTTTTGGCCAGCTCCTTCTAATGTTATAACAAGCAAACAAACACCC